GTCTTTTGATCCGACAAATCTAAAGTCTTAGTACTGTATTTGCAAGGCAATTGATCTTTTTATTCTCTTACTTTAAAGATATATGGAATTTTTTCGGTTTATAAATTGCACATAATATTTTAACGACCATAAGTCCGTCGTATAGAATTATTAATGAGTCGGACACAATCTGAAATTATAAATCTAATTGAATTAATGTTTTGAAAACCAAAAATAAATATTTCGAATATATTTTACAATATTCACACTTATTTGAAAATATTACGATATTGCTGAAAATTAAAAATTCTATCGAGATACCGTTTAATATTTATAATTATTTTTTTAATTACGTATTTTAATTACGTAGCTTAAATGCTTACAAATTAAACGAGAACAAAATTTTATATTTAATTTGAAATTTTAAAACGGCAATTCTCTACTACACCTATTGTACAATTATGATAGTTATGTGTTTACTTTTTTATTGTTTCAAATTTCTTTAATAATCAGGAATACATTCAAAACACTTAACAATCACTTATATATTATTTATGTACATAATTAAATACAAAGTAAAGTTTAAAATTCATTTATGAAAAATTTATTTACACTTAAATGTTACTTTTAAACTTTGAACAATCTGATATTAATTCCATAAAGTAAGATTTTTTTTTCCGTAATTAAGATATTAAAATTTTACATTAAAATAATTCTTGTAATGAATAATGTTAAAATTAGAATTCCATCACTTATTTTATATTTTTTATATCGCATTAAGTTTTCAATTAATCATAAGTAGTTAATTTTTCTTAAGAAATTTACCTTAATTATTGATAAAATTTTATTTTCTTTTATTCATGTATTCAAAGAAGTTTCTTATATACAAGATATTAATTCTTTATTTGAATTTATATAAAATAATTCGAATTTAACTTAACGTATGTACAATAAATGTAAGAAAAATATTATTATTTATAAACTGTTTTTATAGAAATAAATTACGCAATCAACAATAACATGAATGAAGATTATAATAAATAATACTGAAAATATTTACATTGCAAAATAGTTTGCGTTTAACGTGCAATCCCAATAAAATATGTGTTTAAGTTCAAAGTTATTTTAATAATAATAGTTATAACAAGCTTATAAACTTAAAAAAATAACTACTAATATGTGAAAGGATATATCATTTTCTTTATAGCTCTGAAAAATATTTGTAGCCAATTTAATTTCCGTTTTATTTTCAAAACAAAAAGAAAAGTATTTTACATATTTATTGGATTTGAATAAATATTTATATGAAATATCAAATCGGAAGTTAAAAAATAAGTAATTTTCTTCATATTTTTGCAATGAAATTTTATGAATAATAAATTAGTCACTAATTAGTCGGAAACGAAGAATAATTGTCACTAATATGAGTTTGGTGGGTAAAAAAGTTTTTAACGTTATGTGGTTTAAAACAGATTATCATTGTAAATAAAATGATTCAATTAGTTAAATTTAAGGATTATAGAAATAAAACTACAGTTTATTTTAGAAATTTACGATAAAATTGATCTTATTATTTATTCTTTGTTTAATTAAGAATAATATATTATATATATATATATATATATATATAATTACATGTTATTTCGAAAGTAACTAGAAAATTATAATAAAATAATACATAATGATTATGTAAATTAATATATTTATATAAAAATTAAGAGAATGTATAAGAACAATTAATTATTGTGATTGACAATTTTTTTAATATATAATTCTATGTTATATGTTTTATAATATTATTTTAAAATTTTCATGTATGATGTATTAAATATCATGAGCCCAAGACATGCACGTAATGTATTCTAAAAATAAAACCATAATTTATTTTAAAGCAGTTTATCTTAATATAAATAGTATTTATAGATAATTATTGGATGTGGTGTAAAATTTTAATACACCTATTATTAGGAAAAAGATATTTTCTTAATGGGAATAGAATTATTTTAATTAATATTTTCATTGTAGATGTACTTAATTGTTTTCCAGATAGTATAAATTCAAATTGTATAACGATGTAGAGCGATAATATAGAATTACAAGAATCCTTTATTATTTGTATAGAAAACTTAAATTTGTAGAAAATTAGAAAATGCTTAATGACTCCTCCGAATCTAAAAGAAATTTAAAATAAGAACAGGTAAAGGAAAATAAAAAAAAATACATATTGTTATACGAACTTGAGGAAGTTACATAAAAGGAAAGAACTATTTATTGAATTTGTACGCAAGAAATCAAATTAAGTAATTGTAGAAACTACAGATCAGACGTAAATTTTCCTCTTTCACTAAATTTTTTCGCTGTTGAACTTTCTATGTCTCTCTCCCTCTCTCTCTCACTCTATCTCTCTCTCTCTCTCTTCTCTCTCTCTCTATCACCTTCTGTATCTATCTATCTTTTTTTTTAAACAGAAGTCTTGTTGCCATGGGACAAAAGCACAAAAGTATAATATGCAAGCGAATACAATTTTCAACTTTAAATTGTGTGACTAATATAAACCATTTGAAGTAAAAGATTTTAAAATTACTTTAGTTCAAGCACGTACATTCAATAAATAAAAAGTTAATCAATAGATAAATAATTCTTAATTTTATTTAATATTATGAAAAAATTTACTAACGTAATTTTCCTAAACCAAAAGTATTAACATATTGTTCATATATGGTTGAATATCATTAAAATTAAAAATTTTATTATTGTCATTATAAATATTATAATTGGCAACTGATGAATATTATTTGTGTATGCAAAATATTTTTATTATTTTTATTTCATTAAATTTTTCTCAACTTTTAAAGATACATAAAAATAATATAATTATAATATTAATATAATATAATTATAATATATATAATATATATAATATACATATAATGTATGTAATGTATACAATCTATATATATATATATATATATATATATATAATATAATTATAATTATAATAATATAATTTATAATGATATTTTCATTTCAATTATTATTATATGATTAGCGTATAAAAGGATGCTATTATAATGATATTAAATAATATAAAAATGAGTGAAGTAATAACTTTGCTGTTTATATATTTCTATATGTTTATTAGTATTCTTCACAATAAAAATAATTTTACTATTTTTAATGTAAGCAAATTATTCAAGTTAAAGAAAAAAGAAAGGAATAGGGTCAGTAAGTGAAAGAGATTGAGAAAATGGAACGAATAGTAAACTGTTCAATCGTTATGTCGAACTTGTTTATTAACAGATATAGTTAAAAGATAATATTAATTATAATTTAATATAATTAAATTATTTTAAAAGATAATCTATTATTATATTGTTTGGGAATGTGAATTTACTTATTTGAAAATTTTCATTATTATTTATTTCATTTTCTAAAGTCGTTATTATTTTACAAGAATTGAAGCTAAAAACATTTTTCTATCTATTTATTATATATTTTTCTATGTATCCAATAAATAACTTACTGTATTATTTAAGCCTTTTGATTTTGTTATTTATCCAAATTTCTTAGTTCGGATAAATAAAAGTATTATTTAAGGTTATTTTTGTTATAGACGAACAAAATTATAGTTTTGTGTAGACGAAACATTTAAAACTCAACTGACTAAACATTTTCTATGCCTTTGCTTGGGTTCATTAATCATAAAATGAATTACTACGTAAAAACTATGTTTTACGAGACATATAATAAATTTATATAGTAATAAATTTAAAAATTGAGATAATAGTAAGAATTTACTATTTTATTTTATAACATTGTTGAATGAAATGTATTAAACATAATTTAAGGTTTGGTTCGAAGGTAAATATTACGGTAAATATATAAATATTTGCATTTTATAAGTAATGAAAAATAATTTTTTCTACAAATATTTTAATGAAAATCTACAATTTCATATATTATTTTATTTACTTTTATACAATATGCTTGACATTGATTTTAAAATATATTTATAATAAAAAATTGATTACATTATTTATTGAATTATTTTGTAATATCATTTTATTATCAGATTTTTTTATTTGCTTATGTCGGTAAAAATAATTCATATTTTGTATAATATTATTAAAATTATATTTAATGTAATATTTAGTATAACGTATAAATTTTTATTTTAAAGGTGTTAATTATATAATTAATAACAATAAATACATATTTAAATTAGTATTTATTAAAGTTTACAATAATAAAATATATGAATAAATTAGATTTTATTTACCGTTCCTTAAAAGGATTACCGAATTATCGATAATCGAGTTTCAAAATTAGAACTGAAGTAAACTGTTTAAAATATAAAACTGTGTTAAAAATAACTAAGTAATAACGAATATTCATAAAGTTTTATATAAATATATACAAATTAGAATCTTATAATGATGATATATATATATATATATATATATATATATATATATATATATTTCTAGTTCATCAATCTTTATCAAGAAATTAATACTAATTATATTTGAAAATAATTCAATAATCGAAGGTGGCTACATTTAAACAAGATTATAAAAGTATTTTATAAAAAGCAAAGAAATAAAGTTAAATAAAGTTCAACAAAATCATCCATAAAAATATGTGGTAAATATATTATAAATATTTGTAAATTATATTCAATTTATTATTTACTTTCATATTAATACTTTATTAAAGAAAAACTTTAGATATATCGTCTGAATAAAAATATTAACAATCATTTTCATTGAGGAAATATTTATTGTACCAATTTACCATTTATAATATATTTAACTACAATTTTTACAATATTTAATACATTTTTAGACAAGTAAAAAAGTACGAATGTAGTATAAAAAAAAAAAAAAAAGAAAAAAAAAGAAAAAAAAAAGAAAAAAAAAGAAAAAAAAGAGAAAAAAAAGAAGAAAAAAAAGAAGAAAAAAAGAAAAAACCCACTGCACCTAAAATAATCAAAGGAGGTAATAAATAATGTTCCAACTTACCTTGAACGGGAGCGTAAATATTGAGGTACAGACAGTCCTCGCTCTGATTTTTCAAATAAGGCAACAGTCTTGTAAGGTAATCAAGTCTGCCTTTAGACATCTTGTCAGTCAATAGTGGTAATTTTTGTGGACATACGGGGCCGAACTTATCCGCTACTCTCACACCATGCCAGCGAGCGGAACTCACGGGTGGCATGAATCTTAGACTTCCGATTGGCGGCGAAGCATAGGGTACCCCACGATATACCTCGACGCTCTCTAGGCTACGACCTAAGGATACTATCACTCCAGACAATTCACCGTATTGTGTTTTAACCACCCTCGAACTTAGTTCAGCCATGCTCTGGCTCAGTAGTAGTATTAGCCAGGCGAGAAGTTGTTGCGCTGCAGGTGAAAGTGAATTTTGCTGTCGTCCCATTGCCCCTCCTTGGATAAATGACGAGCGTGAATAAATTTTGCTAAGACTAAAGACGATTCAACCGCCATTTACATACGTGCTTTCCTCACTACCATCTCCACATTCTACCTACATTGATTACTTTTAACTCAACTATTGCTTATATAATTTTAATCATTTTAACTGTCGAGTAGCCAGACAGTATCTCTTATTTGGAAAAACAAATGCTCCACTCCCATTAAAAAAGTAATTTTTTAACAAAATCATGATAGACACATTGTATTTTTCAAATTTAATCATTGCTATCAATTAATTTAATTTATTGTGTATATGATTGTAATAACCAATGTTTTCATAATGTGCGCTGCAATGTTGATGATAGGAAACTGTCTTAAAACTTGAAGCGTTAATTATAAAACAAGGAGCTACTTCATTCGATATAAATATTCTGGACTTTCATGTCATATTATAGTCTTTTGCACATTTTTTTTAATCATAATAAATATACGAAGACTCGGACAGATGTGCTACGAATGTTGATGGAGATGTATCGAACTATATATCTCATGATTTTTTGTCGATTTTTCGGTGCTGGGTTTTTTTTTTTTTTTTTTTTTTTTTTTTTTTTTTTTTTTTTTTTTTTTTGTAATATAAAAGGATATATTTCAAATTTCAGTTGATCAGTATGATGTAATAATGCTATTATCCACGATATATTAAATTCATACTGTTTACATTGCTGTATGTTGATTAGTTTTTCTTTATATCTTTACATTCTTAATCGTAGTTCATAAAATATTAAGATATAAATATGCTTTTTAACTTTATTATATTCGGACTGATGTAGTGTGCTATAAGATTCACATAACTAGAATTTCAAATTAACCGACGATAATTCAATGTACAAATGAATAAACAATCCTAGAAAGTACTTCTTAGATTCTCACAATAAATAAGACACAAACAATAAACTCACCATCTCCACCCACTCACTTATAAATATATAAATATATTATAAATATCTATCTATCTAGATATATCTGTCTACGTGTGTGTGTGTGTGTGTGTGTGTGTGTGTGTGTGTGTGTGTGTGTGTGTGTGTGTGCGCGCGCGCGTGCGTGCGCGTGTGTGTATGTATATATTATAGTATAAAGATATAAACACTTATACGGCACTGTTAAACATATTTGAGAATTTAAAAGAAATATAAACCATTGCAAGAGGCTAATAATATCCTTAATCGAGAGATCAAAATAACCTCTCTTTCACTTGTATAAAAACAATTGTTTTATTTTTGCTAAGTTCAGCTTAGATCTTTTACATCTTTCGTTGTTGTCATTGTCACCAAACTGATTGAATCGTCTTCGAAAAATCTCCTATGAGAAGTCGCGTGCATATCTTCGTCAATCATTTAGCAGAACGACAACCCTGGTAAGTGAGGAGGAAGCGAGAGAGAAAATGGATATTATTGCAAATACCTACTATATCACTACTATATTTCTTCACTGCAAATCATTGAAGGATTTATGGACAAATAAATTAGTCGTTTATTCGATATAATAATATATAAATCGCAGAAATAAATAAAAACGTGCATATTGTAAAATAATGATAAGGTGCTAAGGTGCGAGAGAGAATCTAATTGAGATAAATTGAGAGAAACACAGAGAGAGAGAGAGAGAGAGAGAGAGAGATATTGGTAAAGCGTAGATAATTTTTCTTTTGCTCTCTTTCTAACAATGGTTATTCAACAACACGATGTTATAGTACTTGGATCCTCTGGTACGACAAACTGACATCAACTGTGCTCTGTATAGCAGTTCGGGAGGTTCGAGCGTTTGCGCATGTCTATTTTGTTCTCTCTCACTCTCTCTCTCTCTCTCTCTCTCTCTCTCTCTTCCCCCCACCCCTCGCCTTTCTGACTTTTTACATCCCTCTTTTCGCAAGGGAGTAGAGGAGTCATCGTAAATGCGCGCGCTATGAAGCTGGGAAACGTGACCACGTCCTCGTACGTACACTTTTTACACTCATAGTTGAATATTCGCAGGACTGAGATATGCATTTTGCACAGGAAAGCATTGCGAAAGTATGTGTAGATGAATTATATTGTTACGTACATATTAGTACTGATAGACTTTTTTAAAAATATTTTTTATAAAACCAGCCATCATTTATTTATATTTCATGTTAAAAATATTTTAAAAAATGTTATTATATATTCGTTACTATAGAAAATTAATTACCAAATGCCTGATTTATTATTAATTTTAATTCTAAAATTATTAAAATAGTATAAACATTTTGAAGCACATATTATTTATCGCAACATTTACAAAAATAATGTCATTATTATATAAAAAAGACTTGATATAAATTTAACTCAATCCGAAATTCGAATATTTAAAAGGAAATTCTTCGAAATACTTTTTATTCACTTTACAGCTGAAGCGTTCAAAAGATAATCTATTAAAAAAAAAGAAAAAAAAACTTTCAAACATTTGTCAGATGCATTAAAGATTATTGGGAGTTGATAATTAAGAATTTATTCTTAACTAATAATAATCTTTGAAAGTTAAAAATTGTCTGCAATAACAGGTCATTTATACGAAAGATTATCATCGGTTAATTGGCAATGATGAGTAAGCAATCACTCACTGGGACTTTGATAGAGAATAAATTGACCGTACCATAACCGTCGCTCGTTCGTCAACGGCAATATCCATGCGAAATAGCAGACTATAGCTCCCCCTTTGTCTTTGGGGCTCGTCCTTTCTTCGTCAGGTTTATTCGATGGTAGCGGAAGGGCGGAAACTGCGCGAGAGATCAGGCGCCTCGTCGAAACGGGGGAGTGACTTTGGTCTATTCGCAGCCCGGTCGATACGGCAGAGAGTCTCTAAGGATGAGAGACGAAATCCTTGCGCGTCGGTAACTCGTAAGCTCCAGTCTGGCGATTCGTAAACTGTTAATTCCTTCGTACTTTCGATTTACTATATTTGCTTGTCGATGCTTCGCATTACAAACAGCTCATTTTTCAAAAGCATGAAACATTTTTAAATCTTACTACTACAATGATAATGTCAATTTGAATGACTTATATATTTTTAATACAGTCAACGTTTTTACAAACTTACTGGAATGTAGATATTGTCTTTGCGATTACGAATGATTGGGTCTTAATTATTCAGGTACTTTCACAAGTACATTCATATCAAATGGACTTTTTCATACAAACTAATGAATGGACTCAATTACATGATATGATTATTTTTAACAATTATAATTTTAATTTTCTTTCAGGTTATATTACACGAAAGTTGACCAATTCATTTTTCAATTGATTCAAAATTACTTCTGCACTTAAGAAATTGTTTACTGATTCTGTAATGAACGTCTAACGAATATAATGCAAAATTGCCCATTTCAAGATTTCTAGATCCGAAATACTATTATAATATTGCATAAAACTACTTGTCAGTTTAAATTAATTGAGAGAAAAATTAAATTTTATTGACTAAATTGATTTTTTTTTTTTTTTTTTTTTTTTTTTTTTTTTTTTTTTATTATTAATCATTTATATTAAAAAGGATAAGTGTGCTAAAACAGTAAGTTACATTAATCAGATGTTTACGCGTACATTAAAAAAAGATGTTTCCATCATATTGTAAATCGTATTATGTAATTTACTTCTCAGTTTTCGAGACTTATTATATATTTTAAGTTTTATAGAAATTATTTTTATACAATTAAATGCTATGCTATAGAAACATCAATACTGTCTTCAAAATCTCTACTAATATTACATGAATTTTTTCAGTTTTCTTTAACTCACATTTTTCATATTTATTTTAACTAATAAAATCTTCTGACTTCTTTATTATTATTCATATTTCTACTATACTATTTATAAGACGAATATACAAATCGTTTATTTTTTTATTTCTAATTTTGCTTTCAAACTATTGACCAATAATATACAGTTGCCTCTTTTCTTCTTTTTTTTCTGTATTGTTTTAAAAGCAATTTGCATTCATTTGCATTATTAGTATGCAAACCTACCATTACTCGTATCTTTCTTTGCTTTCATTTTCGAATTGTTTATATTAATGCTTTTATCAGGAATTTATATCTTAATACTTTATATTTATAACATTTATTATACAAATACCATTTCTTTCATTATATTTCTATTTTATCTACTATTTTTCATAAAACTACCATCTCAGAATATATTTCATGATATATTCTCTTCCATTTTTTATAAGAATTTTCTGTTAAAATAATTATATAATTATTGGACATTAGATGTGAATGATTTCAAAATTTAATAATTTCAAATTCATTTACTTCTATAGCTTACTTCTTTACATTTTCACTTTACTCATCTATAACATTATTAATCCATTTATCATTCTCTTCCTTTTCATTTTGTGCTTGTTAAGTTAATATTACTTTTATTTGTTTTATATTTTTAAATTATTTTTAACATAAATATTTTACTTTGAATTTTTTTTCTATTTATTTATGATTTTATGATTTTCAATTTGCCACAATTCAATGTGCTGAATGATCGATCACTGTTCGATTTAAAAATATATATAATCAATAACTTATTACCGATTTTGAACTTCTTGGGACTTCCTTTGAAAATTATTAAAATTATTAAAAATAATTCAAAGACAATTTATTATATTATAATAATAAAAAAAAAAAAAAAAAAAAAAATTCTTTTTAACGTGTTAAATTTTTTGTTACTTTATAAAAATATCCATTACTATTAATGGTTGAAATACTTTCATTTACTCTAAATTTAATTTAAGAGATTTAAATGTATGCATTGCAATATTTTATTCGAATATAAAAATTTCTAAAAATCTAATTATATTGATAGTCAACTGCTTAATATAATAAATATATCATTGGAATTTAATGAAGTTTAAGAGCAATCAATTAAAAGTTATCCAAAGAATTATGATAAATTCACTATCAATGTTACATTCTGCTATAATATATA